TTATTAAATTTACATCTCGTATATAAAATTATTATCTTATATGGTAAGAAAGCAGCTTGTAAAAGTAAATTTACATGTTAAAAGTAGATTACTAGAATGTCTTCGTAATAATAGATTTTGTAACCGTATTGATACAATTTCACATAGTAACTTTACAATAGTGTGCAAATATTTCGAAATATTTGTGTAATAATAATTTATATATTTGTATCGATAAAAAACAAATTATGAAATTTCCAATCCTAATGTAAATTTACGATTAATTTTTGTAATAATATTACCTAACTTTTTAAAATTACATTTAACTTTATTAAAATTACACTGTTTGTCTAAATTTTTATAGATTGTATTGTAATAGTACCGTAGCATACACCGTAAAAATGTTTTGTAAAATTACAACTATTATAGTGGGTAATTTTGAGACCCACTATAATAGTTGTAAATTTCCATGTGTTTGTTTTTGCAATATACAAGTACGTTTTATTTGTATATTGCAAAAACAAACAGGTAACTATTATAGTGGGTCTCAAAATTACCCACTATACCTATTAGTTGTAATTTTACCGAAATGTTTTACACTGTATTATATTAATTTACTATCTTATTTTTATGTTCTAATTATAAGTTGATATAGGATTATACATATAAATAAAGAATAGTAAGTGATAAATAGTTCATTTATTTTTAAATTGATAAACTGAATACTATTGAAGTATACAATAATTACACAAACAAAAATAATAAAAACAGAAAAATAATATTATGAACAGAAAATAAATACCCATTTTTTGCACGTGTAGTAATATAATTATCATAATAGTATATGTAATATCACATATCAAATCTGCTTACAATTAAAAGAAATAAAAATACAATTTATATATACTTATATACTTGTTATAAAAATCTTATAGCTATCAAAAATAAAAATCTTATAGCTATCAAAAATATCTTATATTTGCAGAACATCTCTTAACAATTACATTATCGCAGTTTAACACTAATATTTTTGCAAATTTGAAACAACATTGAACAGAAAATAGATAATTATTTCATTAAAAAATTTTTTATTTCATTTTTTCGTTTGCAAAAGTAATAATGATATACTGTGATATACTGCGATAATGCATTGTTAGATGTTTTGTAAATTACATATTTATTATGTTAATGAAATATTTATAAGTATTGTAATTAAATATTTCTATATATTAAATATTTCTAATATTTGTAAGTTTAACAATTATTATAATACGCTAAATGTTGAGAAATATATAAAAACATATTTTAAAAATAATATTTAATATTCTCATATGTAATATTGCGAACTTAATATTTCATTAATATAACAAATTTTCTGCATACATTTATAAAACTAAAAAAAATTTACATCTTTGCGTATATAAATTTATAAAACAGAAAACGAAAGAAAATCTATATTATATAATAAAGTATATATGCATGTATACTCATGTATATATACAGGGTGATTCAAAACAAACTTTTGTCCTTAAAGGGTCGTATTCCTGAGTTAATTCGGAGACAACTTTTTCTCTTGCAAAATTTTATCCGATGCTTCGTTTTTGAATTATTTAAGGAAATAGGTATCCTATTACCGCTCAGATATAAGAGGTAAACAAGAGCGGCGCAACTCTTATATCCGAACCGCAATAGGATACATATTTCTTTAAATAATTCAGAAACTAAATATCGGATGAAATTTTGCAAGAGAAAAAGTTGTCTCGAAATTAATTCAGTTATACGACCCTTTAAGGACAACAGTTTGTTTTGAATCACCCTGTATATATGTATATATTTATAAGGTCTTAGAATCACATGAAGATCAAATTGAATTTTTCCAGTTAAAATAAAGTTATTATTGCTAATATCACGATTAGAAAAAATTTCTTTTTAATTTTAACTTTAACATTATTGCATACTTATCGCTATAGTTGAACGTTTTTAAGATATTGTAATGTTTTCAGATTTTTAAAGAACTATATCAAAATTTATGTTGAATCAGAAAAAAGACGATACAATAGAAGACAAATATTAGTTACCACACTTACGAATTTGATGAAATATTTTCTTTATCTACATCTCTCTCTTCAACGTCTCTTAATTTGTTAAATAGTGAGAGGACTTTGTATTTAGTTGCGATCTTACGTGATTTTGTACCAGAAGTAGGATGAATATTTAAAAAATATTTCTGGATAAATTCCAAAGTACATGCACAGTTTGTAGGATATTCCATGTTGAAAACATAATAGGCAGACATTAACATTTCTAGAGCTTCATAAAAACAATATGTTCTTTC